CCTCGAACTTGTATAACTTGGTTCAGAGCGGTCCTACAACTTTTATGCCATATTAACTATTGCTCCAAATAGCTAGTTCTAATAATACGCACCATTTTTTTTTGTTGGCCGGCACTTTAAAAAAAGGCCCAAAAATGTATGAAGCCTGAATGATCTCCTTTACAGTCTGCTAAATCAAAACTGTGGTTAATCTGAAAAATATGGGCGGACTATGTTTTCCTATCGAGGATTATATTTCAAAGCCTACAGTCAGAAATGCTACTTCCCGATCCCAAAAAGATTGCAATTTGTATAAATAATCGAATTTTAAAGTCTTTTTAGGGTTCCGTAGCCAAATGGCAAAAACGGAACCCTTATAGGTTCGTCATGTCTGTCTGTCTGTCTGTAGCTAGCTAGAGAATATTCCACTTTTAATCTCAGGGTACAACNCTACATTTTCAATAGATTTTATTTAGGGTCATTCACATCAACACAATCAAGTCACACTAGTCTACCTTTGTTAGTCTGAAAAACCACTATATTTTGAACGAAGGATGGGCACGAACTGTAATTAAATAATTATTTCCAGGTGAACAAAACTGTTGACAAGATCTCATCTTATTGCACAAAGTTTAGCACAATAATAATGTATTTAGCAATATTGTTCTTCAATATCACTCCAACGTACAACAACATAAGACATACCTTGATATCAAAGACTGAAAATTATTCCATGGAATATTCTGTATATTTTAGTTTTCCTGGATTCAACCCGCTCGACCACTTTGCAAGTACTACCGTTTATAATATCTACTTATCATACAACTGCTCAACATTGTTTTGTGGGTTTGATTTGTTATTGTTTTTGATGATATTTCAAATAATTGGGCACGTGTACATTCTGAGACACAATCTCGAGAATTTTCAGTCACCTAAGAATAAAATTACTCTCAATTTACGGGGAGATGCATTGATTACAAATAACACGTGCACTTATGAAGTATTTGACGCACAAGAAAATGAAGAAGTGCGCCTTCAACTGGCGGAGTGCATAGAACACCACAAAATAATAATTGGGTATGTAATTTTTGATTACTTATTGATATCAAAATCACTTTAAACAAGTAGTAATATTATGATACGGTCTGCGAAGTCATCATCTGTCTTTGAATCAGGTAAATACCTACTTAATTAACTCTACCATAGAACAAAATATTTGTTAATTAAAATCCTTTAGAGAATCCATCAAATCAAGGGAAATTTAAATGAGTAGGTACCTACCTAACGTCAAATTCGAATACAGGATTCTTTTATAATCGTTAACATCTTTGATATCACCAGACCGAATAGCAATCAAATCACTATGTAAAACTTATTCTTAATATAATAGCGCCGAATCTTTTTTTAATAAATTAATTGATGAGTGCAAGATTATAATTTTTAAATTACGGCTGATTTTTCAATCGTCGGATAACTTTTAACTGAAGAATAAAATGGGGATGTTGCCTGGGTCAAAAAGCAAGAGTTTTAATTAGTCCGTCAGTTAACTTATCAAAAAATACTCTACACGTATTTTTCACTTTTTCAAACTAATGAAAATTTAAAGAGATAAAGCGCCCCAAAGTTCATAAGAAGAGGCCCGTGACGTCAACGCTTGCTTAAAAATGCCGCACGTTGTGACGTCGTGCGCAACTTCAACGCACCATAACTATGTAATTATTTGTTAGATTGACAAATAAAAATATACGTGTCCAATATTTTTTTATATTAAACATTACGGACTAAAAAAATTTTTTTAGGCAACTAGCCTATTGTCATTTCGACGTAATTATATTGCCTATACTAAATATAAATAAAAATAAATATCTTTGGACAGTTTACACTGCGCCTCTACTTAGTTCCAAACTAAGCAAAGCTTGTATTATGGGTACTAGACAACGGATATAAACATACTTAATACTTTTTTTTTTGTAAATACTTATAATACATAGTAATACCCAGACCCGTTACAGAAATTAAAATTCATCATTACAATTTCTGCGCGGCCGGAAATCGAACCCGGGACCTCTTGACATAGTAGTCCGTTCTGAACCACTACACCAAACGGCCGACTAACGCCCAATTTGAGTGCATTACCGCAGCAAAATTTTTATAAATGTTGTGCTTTAGAGAGTCGAGAGTATAGCAGATAATTAGTCCATCATGAGCAGAAATTTGTCCACTAATAGCAAAATTCGGTCAAATTATAGTTTTAAAGTTATTAGGAAAAAACAGATTTTGCTGGGGTAACATTTCAAACATTACCCTGGCAATTTTTTTTTAAAGTCGTTCTATCCCGGATCCAAATACATGGATAGATAAATAATAGATAGAGTAATTTGTCCACGAATAGCAAAATTTGTTCGTGTTCCGGTTCTCAAGTTATTTAGAATTTTGCTGGGGTAATGTTTTGTGATGTCCCAGATCTCGTAAATGGCTCAACGCAGAAGTTAGAAAAAAATACCAATGATAGACCTTGATATGTCCAAATTAGTCCAAACATTAGTCATTGATTTGAATGATAAACACCAGTGTAATTAAAAGATTTCGAAAATCAGATAAAACGGATTTGTGAGTAAACCAGTACTCTTACAATCGAATAAAAAGGTGTAGCATGTACCCTTGGTAGACCTTTATAACCACAGTAAATATAAATGATGTGGCTTTGCGCAAAAGAGAGATTTCAAGAAATTTAATTTATTTTAGCAGTCTTACTTTCGTGGCCGAATACGCAATTCCCTTATAACAAGGGAACATGGCAATTGGCATACAATGGACAAATCAAAATGTTCCTTGAATAAGCTATCCCGTTAATTTCAGCTTTATAATACGACTTATAAGAATACGCTTCTATAGATGACCCACGCTGAACTGTCCCGCCAAACTCAATGACAGGGGGGCGCTACCATCGTTCAACTATATGGTTTCCAACATGGAAAAAATCTGAACCAGCGATCCGGTATTGACGGTGGCGCCCCACTGTCAATGTCATCGACAGGACAGTCCAGTATTTTGGAACTATATAGTCTTTTTCACGTAAGATGATCCGTATGACACTTCAAGGTTATCCATATTACGCATACTACATATGCAGAATATTTTTGAAAAAATATTTGTATTTTATTAGCAATATAATAAAAAAAAATTAACTACTTGTCTTGAAATATATAGTAAAATCTGAGTCTATTGATTAAATTTTAATTAAATACGATGTAAAATTATTTTTTATTTAATGTACGCAATGTGTGAAACGGAATAGATTTAGTGCTGGGGTATTTCTTGTTTAATAAAATCGATTATTTCCGCGGTTCATTAATCGATTGCAATGAATACTTAGTTACTAAAAACATCACAAAAATCAACTATATTTTTCGCTTATTGACTTTAATAAACGCATTGAAAATAAATTTATAGTTTTTAATTTAAAGAAACAGAATCAGTACTTTTTAGAAATCGTTTTTTTTGAACACGAACCATGAAATTTGAATATTATCAATAAAAAATTGTTACAATAATATTAGTAATTAAAAAAAAACATGTTTTTTGTTAAATAACACCTATACAAAATATTTCTCTAAAAGTAGGTTTCACTACTCTTCGAATAAAATCGATAGATAAATCGCTATGGTTTAGTTATGTGACATCTCTAAATCTTTCAAACTCGAAACATCGTACGGATCATCTTATAGTTCCAAAATACTGAACTGTCCTATGCATGACATTGACAGTGGGGCGCCACCGTCAATACCGGATCGCTAGTTTCGATTTTTGCCATGTTGGAAACCATATAGTTGAACGATGGTAGCGCCCCCCTGTCATTGAGTTTGGCGGGACAGTTCAGCGTGGGTCATCTATAGGTGAAAAAGACTATAGTCCCAAACAAAGATGTACCTGTATTATAAAGGATGATGGGCACAAATGTATGGAAAGTGGTACCCGCTCCAATAGCCATAACCAATATATATTTTAAAAGGCCTTTATATGTAGGAAAATGTCTGCTAAGGGCCAGTTCTAATTCACGTTTTGAAAGCAGTAATTCCACTAAGTATTATAATGAAAGTATAACACAATCATCCATGTATACGAGTATGTATTATGACTGCAATCTATTAATATAACTAAAAGAAGCATTGAAAAGGAAAGGATTATACCTACGATGAACTACCCAAGCTATTAGCCCTTTATTCGCTTTCATCATCATCATCATGATCATTTTAACCATAGGACGTCCAGTTGAACATAGGCCTCCCCCAATGATTTCCACAATGGCTGGTTGGTGGCGGCCTGCATCCAGCGCCTTCCCGCTACCTTTATGAGGTCGTCGATCCATCTTGTGGGTGGACTTATTGGGTCTTGTGGGTTTATTCGCTTTTGCAACCCATAATAAAACCCTTAAGAAGTAATAAAACTTTAACCCCTTTATTAATAAAAGTTACACCCTAGTTGAACTCTGGCTTAAATTGTCATTTGGTATGGAAATGTCATTTTAATCCAAGGTTCTTCCTAGGTGTAACTTCTTATTAATAAGGGGGTAGTACTTTTTAAAATAAACATATTTATATCACAATCAATAATTATAGAGTTAAGGGAGGATGCTGGAGCAGTAAACCCTTCCTGCCTCGCATAACCTAAGTACCATACGATGGACACGTATGATACTTCTTCTTCTTCTTCCTCGGTCCCTCACTGATGAGGATTGCGACCACAGGTAGTGTTCCTCCACAGACTGAGGCCATAAGCTGTGTGGACCGCACGATGCAAACTCCCGCCCACCGTCTTCCTCACCGCGTCCGACCATTTCGTCGGTGCCCTGCCCCGAGCGCGTCCCCCTTCATACTGTAGGTATGATACTTAGGTTACACAAAAAGTATCTTTATCTTCGAACGCAACCAGATCTGAGGCTGGTGGCCATAGTAAATGTTGTTCGTCTTGGTAAGACCTTTCAAATGACACTACAAACATAACTATTGGAGCCGGGTACTATTCTGCAAAAAAGTATGTATATCTTCGTACACAACCAGATCTGAGGCTGGTGTTCATAGTAAAAGTAGTTCATCTTGGTAAGACCTTACTAGACACATATCTATTGAAGCCGGGTACCATTTTGCCCATTGTCCTTTACAGTCTGCTAAATCAAAACTGTTAATCTGAAAAATATGGGCGGACTATATTACTGTTATGCTATTGCTATATACAAGATTTACACAATTCAATGTGTCCAGTCCAATGTGCCGTCGGTGTAGAGTGCCTACGGTGCACGTTGAGAGTTCATGAGCCAGTCGGCTAGCACGTAGGTCGCGGTCGATGCTGACGTGCTTGTACAGTATCCTTGTGGGCAAATAAACCAATTTATCTTTTTCCTTGAGGGAAAAATTTTGCTTCATTTCTTTTTTCCATTGTCGTTTTTATCGTTAAATCGTACAAAACTACCCACAGAACTCAACAAAATATCTATCAAAATCAATATGTACACATTGTACATTTTTATTTTTCATTTAATGTATTATAGATGACCCACGCTGAACTGTCCCACCAAACTCAATGACAGGGGGGCGCTACCATCGTTCAACTATATGGTTTCCAACATGGCAAAAATCTGAACCAGCGATCGGGTATTGACGGTGGCGCCCCACTGTCAATGTCATCGACAGGACAGTCCAGTATTTTGGAACTATAGTGTGGTGCAGCAGTCATCTTGACATTTACTTTTTTTAAGGCAAAGGAATTACATTATGCACCCAAACTACAGATTACATAATAGCCCAAATATCTTTTTTGTCTTTAATAATAACTCAAAAATACAAAAAGACATCAGTTTTGGTCAACTATTTCTTAGTTTTACTTTTATTTCATTTGTTTCTGTGAAATACGTAAGATATTCCCAATAAAATATTTTATCGGAAATTACCGGTTTTTCAAACGTCACTAGGCGCACGAAGAAACGCCACCTAACAAAAGAGTCCCTACTTAGGTTTACTATAGCATGGTGAAAACGAACTTAGGTTAGTGGGCAGTTTAGGCGATCGTTTAACCAAAGTGATGTCTAGTTAGCAAACGCTTAAGGGATTGATGGTGAAAACGGGCATTAATATACCGAAGTAGGGGGCACTTACCTTACTTATTTTGGGTTGGAGTAATGTATGAGATGTTGTCTAATAATAATTTATTTATAATATTTTATTTATTTATATTATTTTATTCATATTTTTTATTTATTTATATTATTTTATTTTATTTTATTGGTTACTCTGCAATGCCAAACAACATAACATGTAATAACCTCCTCCTTTTTTGAAGTCGGTTAAAATATCAAATCATTTTTAATTATATTTTCAATCTGGATTTCATGAAAGATCGATTATGGAAATCGGGCGTTATACCGATACTAAAACTGTCAATGTGCCAAACTTATTCTTCAGTTAAGTAAATAAAAGTTAACCAGCGATTGAAAAATCAGCTCTTTAGTCCAAGGATAATTACATTAACTTATTTATCTTCAGATTTACAGATGACGTGTCAGGGCTATATGGGCCTTTATTAGCCTTCAATTACTTCTTTCATATGATTGCCTGTTGTTTGTTGTTACTGGAATGTACAGAAGGAGTAAGTGATTCACCAGAATAATAATATGTCAACTATTGTCAACCATGTCAGCATCATTAATTATAAGAATGTCGCCTTCAATAACCCAAAATCTTCAACACGACACGTGCCAGGGTGACCACGGATTTTCCATGCATAGCATTAAACGATTTCAGCCATAGGACGTCCACGGCTGAACATAAGCCCCAATGATATCCACAATGATCGGTTGGTGGCGGTGACGCCCTGTATCCAGCGCCTTCCTTTATGAGGTTGTCGGTCCACCTTGTGGGTGGACTCCCTACGCTGCGCTTTCCGGTACGTAGCCTCCATTCTAACTACAAAAGTTTACAGGTAACCAGTTTCTTTTCTGCCTGGATGCAGGCCACTTCCAATCGGCCAATCTGGATTAAGCATTGGGAAGGTCAACGCATAATTTATTAACTGACTCGGTGCCTGAGGTACAAGAGCGGCATGGGGAGGACGTTTTTGTGACATCAGCGAGACTGCAGATTTGCTTCAGGTTTGTATGTTCTGTCGCGTCAAATGTCACCCTTCCCGTACCTCAGGCCTCAGGCACTCACTTAGTTATGCGCTAGAGTTGTAAATGATGAAAATCTGACACATCCGTAAAACTTTCAGAGTTATGATGCAGTACTACGTTACGGACCTTTGACTATTCTCGTTTTTGGTCAGCTCATACAGATGTCAGTTATGTTCGAGTTGCTGGGTTCAGAGGTAACAAAATACATTATGTAGAAATGCAGTAATATAAGTATTATAACGCTGAAGAGCTAGTTTGTTTCGTTGGTTGAACGCACTAAGTAATTTCAAAAACTAAGTAACTGGTCCGATTTGAAAAAAGAGTTTTGTAATGGATAGTTCATTTATTAAGGAAGGCTATATGTATACCATTGTCGCGGAAGTCTAAAGCTACGGCCGTATACTCACGACACCCCCACTCGGGCGATGGCGGAACGCCGCGGAGGTTTTAGTGGGTATACCCAGTCCTTTTCAGAACGGAGCAGCGCCCTTTTTAGGGCGTCGCCGGGAATCCCACAAACCACCCTGTCCCCCGACAGTGGTGACGGTGCGGAAAGCATTTCCTCCGCGACAGTAAAAAAAGGCTATATACCATCGCGCTACGACCAATAGGAGCAGAGCCTCAATGAAAATCGTTGCGAAAACGGGAAAAACCATTCAAACTATTTTTACACATGCGAGATTGCGGGCGGGCGCAGCTTACAACAAAAATGTGTGGAGTCTGAGGTACCTCGACTATACGAGTATGTCAGTTGGTTTAAAAATTAAACAAGGTTCGACCAAACCAACGCGTGCAGCCGGCGTGAGCGATGGCGATCAGTAGACATCGGTAGGATCACCATTGCCATCGTGCACGCGTTGGTTTGGTCAAACCTTTTTAATCTCGTCACCAGACGGAAAAGCTGAAGGACTCCGCGTACTGTCTGCCATGGGAGGCCATGAACACCAGCAACCAGCGAACTGCTTTCATAATGCTGCACAAAATGCAGTACAAAATCAGTCTCAAGGCATTAGGACTGGCAGCAGTTGGCGTGAACACCATGGTGGGGGTAATTATTTAATTATTTTCTTAAGAGTATAGTTAGAGCATTTACATGTACAGAAAAACAATTTCAAATTCAAATTCAAATTCAACCACACCAACGCGTTCAGATCGCCATCGCCGGTGCGATCACGGCGCGATCAAAGGACAAAGACAGGTCGCGTGAACTGTCATAGGTCGAGCGACTGTCATTGGCCTTTGATCGCGCCGCCGCGGCGATGGTGATCTGCACGCGTTGGTGTGATAGAATCTTTATGCTTCAGCCAAACGCGCGTCCTATCATTAGCCTATGCACGCGTGGTGATCGTCATCGCCGACGCGATCAGCACGCATTGGTTTGGCTGAAGCTTTACATGAACCAATCCTCGTACATTTTACGTGTATTGTACCGTTCGTAAAAACGTTACTACATTCCTAATTAAAGAAAAACATTAAGTAGTATACAGTCTACACTCACCGTAACACTAAGGCAGGATTCATATTGACCGGCGCGAGTCGGCGCGCAGCACAGCGTCCGTTCAGCCAAAAATGCGGTATCCGCTGGAATACGCTCGGAAGTCGGAACCGACCGGCTTCCGACGCATGCTCGCGCAGCCGTCCGGATTGAAATGTCAGTTAAACAGTTTTAAGCAATTACGACTCTAAAGAACTGTTAATAAAATACTATTTTCTTTACGGCCGTGTAAGTGCGCTCCGACGCGCTCCGACGCGCCCCGGTCAATGAGCATCGTACCTAATACATCACTGAATAGAATAGGTATAAAAGTATGATCGTTGTCTGGCTAGTTTCCTAAAAAATAATTTTTAGTCTGTCAATTTTAATTTATCAAAGAATATATTGGACACAGTAGTTATATTTTTCAATGCCAATCAAACAAATAATTACAAAGTTATTGTGCGTTGAAGTACCGCGCGACGTCACAAAGTGCTGCTCTTTTAAGCACTCATGGGCCGCTTCTTTTGAAGTTTGGCGCGCTTTATCTCTGAATTTTCATTGGTTTGAAAAAAGTGAAAAATTCGTGTCGAGTATTTTTTGATAAGTTAACTGACGGACTACTTAATTAAGACTTGCTTTTTTTACCCAGGAAACTACCCCTGCGTTATGTGACGACAATTTCCAGCAATTACCTAGGTAGGTACCATGTAAAATTCAAATTATTAACACCCACTTTTGTTGTTACAGATATTAAAGACTACGTTTTCATATTATGCATTTTTACAAACAATGGGAGATAGATAAGAACACGAAAAAAATTATCATTACTTATTACCTACCTACTTCACAATTTCACAATATTTTACAATATCTTAATTCTTTACCAATGATTTTCACTTTAATACTTACTTCGATTTTAAGTACCTCCCACCTATTATACTGTTTATCAATAAAATTCTGCATATTTAGATACTTAGGTACCTACTTCAAATCATGTAGGTATTCATGACTATAGCATATTGTGTTTGCTTTGTAAGAATGTCTTACCTAAGGGTTTTACGAATAAAGTTGTCGAACGAATATCACATTAAGCGAGTTCGTTCGTATCCTTATCGGTAAGGAATGTTTTGTTTTATTATTATGGAAACAAGAAGCGCATCCTAATATTTCTTTATAGTAACTAAACTTGAGTAATACTGAACATACAGAAGACACAATAAGTAAGCAGAAATATTTTAATCAGATTGAAATTGCTTCACTAGTGGGTAAGTAAGTAGCCCGAACATTAAACGACTCCACTAGAATCAAACTAATGCCACCTTCTCTACAACAGACGCACATAAAATATAAACCGCCCGCCCTAGAGGTAACTTTAAAACAGACGGATTGTTTTACGATGTTAAAACTTGAGAATGTCATTTCTATGTAAATGAATAATGGGTAATCAAAGAAGCTGCGAATTAGAAAAAGGTCTTCAAGTTAAAAGTGCTTTTATAAAAAACCTCCATTAGGTCAGGATTTGATCATTATAATAATAATTCAGTTGATATTTGTCATTTCTATGTAAATGAATAATAGGTAATCAAAGAAGCTGCGAATTAGAAAAAGGTCTTCAAGTTAAAAGTGCTTTTATAAAACACCTCCATTAGGTCAGGATTTGATCATTATAATAATAATTCAGTTGATATTTTTTGTTATAAGAGCAACTTTCCAAAAAACAATTGATTGTTAACTTGAGGAAACTTGAAGAAATGAGAAAAAAACGACTCCATCCAACTCTACCTGCCACATAGAATGATTAGATATTAATTTTCCAAAAAACTTATTTATAGTAAAAAACATAATATTTCGTAAATAAAAAGATCGTGTTTCACACATTTAACAAGTCATCCTCTGCCATAGTACAAAGTGATTTAAATGATTCAAGATTTTTAAAACAATGTAAATGACTCAGCATTTTCATGGAGTTGGAAGTCATGTTGGAAGGATGATGCATCTTTTGGAAGGTTGATCGGTAAGTATTGAACGACTTTTATGCGTCACACGCTATTATTAAAATCTTTGTAGGTATTACTGGTATTACGTACAAGTATAAAAAAAACGAAAATGATTCGAAGATACAAAAGACTAGTCATTCTAACGTTTTATTAGGTACCTACGACATTTTATCAAATCGTAAGATACTAGAAAACATTGAATAAATTGAAGACATTCTAATCAACTGACTGATAATGTTGTGAGATTATGCAAGTCATTGCTACAAACTACCATAACACGAATATAAATGTAAAATGACCAAATCTGACCAGTCACTATTTCACAGTTACTAAAGTACCTACTTACTATTAATGTAATCAAAATCACTGAAAATTACCATTTTTGACAGTTAATGACTGGTTTTTGACCTATTTTCATCAATTTTACCGTAAATGACAGTTAGTCAAATTCAGTCACTAGAAACCTGAAATAGTTTTATAGAGACAACGACACGACGATCACGGCTGTTTATTTGGGTATCGCAGTTGCATTATTAACCATGTACCTAGTACTGGTACTGTCGAAGTGTAATATTCTGTCTGTGTTAATAGGCCAAATGTAATTTAAGCGCTTTCTTTTTGGCCAAACGCCAAAGACTAACGAACTTTGCGACAAACTATTTTTGGAATCATCTCGTTTCGTACGAATTTCAAATAAATCAAAGCATTATACCTAGTATATATCACGTCCAGTGTTGCCAACTTAGCTACTTTATAGCTAGATTTAGCAACTTTTTGATGTCAGGCAGCTACAATTTTTTTTTACTTGTAGCTAAATTTTTTAGCTACTTTTTCTAGCAACTATTGATTATGATAAATTTTTACAAAGTATTTGTAACTCGCTATAGCATGTCTTTCACTTCCGCATTCAAATGCTGAGGTAGAAAGATTGTTCTCCCAAATGAATTAATAAAAAATAAACAGAGGAATAGAATGAGTTTAATAACTCTGAATTCTATTTTATGCATAAAAGATTCGCTCAGGAAAAGCGGCCAGTGCTGTCACAATTACGTTTTTCCTAAAGCCGTACCTAGTTGACAAAATGGGATATTAGATAATTATAATATTCGGTAGATAATCAAAATATTGTCTTCTTTTATTTGTTAATTAAGTAGTCACAGTATTAAAGTTAAGTTGATTAAAGTTTATAGCTGATTTATTAACTTCTGAATTCAGCTACTTCTAGCTACTTTTTAGGGAGAAAAAAATACTCAATCTAGCTACTTTCTGTTAAATTCCTAGCTACGAGCCTTTGGTAGCTGTTGGCAACACTGATCACGTCTTCCACGAACAATGGATTATCTTTTTAATTACTTCCTATATGCTAAGTAAAGTACATTTTGCAACAGTTTCAATTACCGCTGTCGCTCTCCTTTTCAGCTAAATGACGTTCACTGCTGGACAAAGGCCTGCCCCAAGGATTTTCATAACGACCGGTCCTTCCATTCGTACCGCAGCAATTATTCCTGTGTTACTTGACGGTCAAGGTCAAGTTTGTCCCAGATTAATAGTGATGTCGGACCCGCAACGAAGTTAATCGAAAAAAAAATAGGAGAAGAGGACCCTCGAACACGCTGTTAAATCATGTTACAGAAAACTGCTCGTCATGCTAAATTGCGTGGCATTTAGCCTAGGCGCAGGCCTGTGACTTTTAGTTGACCTATAGTTGGGCCCGATTTTAATTTGTATGAAGAATCGGCCGATAGCAAGTCGGTATAATGTGCCCACTTTCATACATCTCCATACTCCATACTCCATCCATACTGATTGACAGCCTGACCCAACTCTCGGCCAACTAAAAGTCGGTGGTCTGCGCCTAGGCTTAAGTAGGTACCACTTAGTTCAAATTCGCAACAAAAATGAAATCGACTAAACTTTTGGTGAGAGTGATAGGTAGTTAGACTAAACTTATGAATACATAAATTATTTTACTATTGGGAAAATAAATAAATTAAAAACTCATCATGTAATCGGCTTTTTCAGTTTTCTTGTAGAAAATTGCGAGAAACTATTCTACTTCAAAAATAAATAAAACCTTGTAATAACTCAACATCCAATTAAAAATCTCATTAACTCTAGTCCTACATATTATGTTTGATGTTTTCTAAAATTAACAGCATCCTAAACTCATTTGCTCAACATTCACGTTGTGCAATCAAACTCTGATTGGTGTCTAAAGTGTGTAAGAATTTACGGGAACACCATAATAATCATTTTATACTAAAAAATAAAAGCTTATAAAAAGAAGATTAATATTCTAAACTTAGTATCCGAGTATAACAGAGAGTACCTAAGTGCTGTTATTTCGAATAATTAGTCGGATTATAATATCATCGACAATTGAGTAGTAAGCACAAGCCGTCTAGACAGCTTGCGTGTGGGTAGTTATTTACTTACGCAGAACCAGTGAAGTAGAATCAACACGAGAAAGACATACAGGGTGTTAGCGGCAGGTCACCTTTGCAGAACCAGTGAAATAGAATTGACTCTAGAAAGACACATAGGGTGTAAGCGACAGGTGGGCGACAATGACGCAACTACTTTTTTAATTAGAACAGTGAAATCACAATTTAAAATTCTCTAGATTCAAGTCTAGAACACTAGTCACAAATTAGGTATATTAATAGGTAGGTATTCCTCATATCATGCTCTAGACTTACACCTGAGGTTAACGGTTTAACATTAACCATATAGTCACACATGGTCCTATCTAAATGGCTAACTATAAGTGGAAGTGCTTATTGAAATTACTTTTGTTACTGCCAACTTATTTCTGATCATAGGTAAGTGTGTGCACCCTGTATATTCATAATCTTACGGGTTCATTTGGTAGCCCTTTACGTTCAGTTTAATTTGCTCACGGGAGTCACCGCCATTGCCTTGTAAACACGGGGCGACAATATGGCGGCATTGCTAATAACTTTTCTCGTACCTACTATACTAGGTAATAGTTTTTACTTGTGTAGGTACTGTATGTTTTACCTACTTATGTACAGGGAAAATTTGATTTCGGAATTTTAAAGCTACTTTAAACTGAAATGTACAGAAAAAGCCTAATATTGTGATTAGATTACACAGCTTGTGTAGGCTTATGATGTGGTATGCATAACAATATTATAAATAATGTAGAGACAATACAAACCATTATGTTGGATGACGTAGATGATTCCCTCATCTGACAATTCCAATAATTTGGTGGCCTAATTATTATTTAGTTAGGTATCACTATATTTAGTAACCAGCCATATTAAGGTAGGTCGCGACTTTTGTAGCAGATTACGTCATTGATACCCAAATAGACTGGTTTATCACATCAATACTTTTTTCAGGAATTCACATAAGAAGATTATAAATTATTGTTCAATTTATATTTTATTACAGCTTAAACTATTTGAATAAGTCCTAGGTAAAGTACAAAAGTAGAACTTGTGTAATTTAAGGAGCGGCAGAAATGTTCTCTCAATTTTCATGAACGTAAAAGTAATTTAATCTATTTCAAAAGCTAAACAGAAGATGCCTTTGTTTACGAGATCGTATAACAGTTAGGCTGAGTTTCACCAACTTACTAACCGTAACTATAACTAAGACCGGTGCCTTTTGTATGGAGTTTGACAGATTATTGACGTTTGTTAAAGTCAAAGTAACATGGTGCCACTCAGACTTAGAAAGCTTTATTAGGACTGCTCCTAACCAATTATCAAATTCTTTTAACTGAGCACGATATCGTAATACTTAATGCCTACTTAAAATATTCTCAGTGCATTCGTGGTATGAATGGCCGGATCTCATTTCAAGGACTTCGTTGTTACTTCCACAGTAAAAGCTGTTGTAATATCAGCAACCAATTGCACTACAAAATATCTTTTCTCTTTCTTTCATTCCTATTAATATAATATATTTCATTTTTATTTACCTATTTTTCTTATTTTTTTAAATATTAAACTTGAATTTTATTTCGAAATATCTAATTTAAGTTTGCTGATAAAATACTCTTTATTGTCTATATTTTCGTGTCAATTGTTTTATTTCGGGAAAAAAATGTACGTAGTAACTCTACTATTTCAGCCCCCCTAGACAAAACGCACTTTTTGATCGAATCGAAAATCGAATCCGTCAAAACTCCATACAAAAAAGGGGCTTTTCGACCACTTTTCGACTGGTTTGCGATTATAATTTGCACTTTGTCTAGACCCACAGATTTACCGCATTACATATCTTTTCTATTTTTGTATTAGTGTGGGTGAACTATTTCCATGCGGAAACTATAGCATGACACGTGCCACATAAAAATAGCACGTTTTTATTCTAACACACAAGAAATGCACTCAGTTGTGTCATGAATCCAGAGAAAAATGACAAGTTTCTTTATTTCACCATCATTTACCTACGAGTAGTTTGGTTATAAGATATTTTTAGGGTTCCGTTCCTCAAAAAAAAAACGGAGCCCTTTGTTGCCCGTCTGTTTTTTTCAGAAACGCGTGGAGGTGTCAAGCTGAAATTCATATCAAATATTTGGGTCTAGTCAAAATGCCATCGCAAACCAATAGGAAGTTTTCACTAATGTCAGTCGCCGCGTCACCAGTAACTCGATTCGATCGGAAAATGGCAGCCAAAATGCACATTGAACCACCAACGACGCGGCGATATAAAAGTTCATTCAAAATCGAATAAAAGTTAAAAAATGTCTATGACTTTGCGATTGTTTTTACTTTTTTTAGCTTTTTTTTTAAATTAGTTTCTTCCTTCTTTCTGCTCTCTGTTTACGTCTATGCTTCGCTGTCAAACTAGCTGTCAAAACGACATCGCGATACGGATTTGTCAAAACAGCCTTAGGGTGGGTTGCACCATCTTAGTTTAACTTTGACAAACGTCTAAAATCTGTCAAACTCCATACAAAAACACCGGTTATCGTCATAGTTACGGTCAAAGTTAGGTGGTGCAACTCACCCTATTGGTTTTCGATCGAACCGAAGCTTATCACCGGGGTTTTGGTAATCGCAATGAAAATGGCGGGTGTTTCGATTCGATTCGATTTTGATTGAGTCTTAAATGCATGTTGGCTAAGCCTTTGTATGGGAAATTTCAATCCGGTCTTTCGATTTATCGATAGGTAGGGCTTTGCGATTCGATTATTTGCCGTTTGACTAAAAGCCTTTTTTGGTATCGACCTCTTTTGCAATTTGTTTATTTGTTTGCGACTGGTTTGGGATGGGTTTGCGACTGTCTCTTAGAACTGTGAAAAGATCAAGCTTCTAACTAAGCCAAAGCAAACAAAAGATACAGCCGTTTCTGATGCAAATTTTCGATATTCGCAAGAGAACAAAACTTACAGGGTAGTTCCCGTGAACTCAGAATCTTGAAATTTGGTACGAAACAACGTCCTATTAGCACAGACAAAGGAAAAATTACTAATTTACTTTTACCTAAGTATAAGTTTATACGGAACCCTCGGAGCGCGAATGTAACTCGCACTTGGCCGGTTTTTCTTTGAAACGTTACACATTTTACCTTTACTGCAATGATTGTAAACAACTTTCGTTGTAATAACGGCCATTAGGAAATAAATAATGTAAGTAAACACCGCGGCATTGCTGATGTAATATTTCGCGGAAGGGAAAGTTTTTTTACTGGAAATTGTAACAACATAGTTATCACAATTTTCATACTCAATTCTTTAAATAAAGTAACTAATTTGCTACTTTGAGGTAAATATTACAGTTGTAGTTTCTGAAAGAATTTTCAATATTACTTCAGTCACTAACAAACATCCAACAAACAAACTTACAAACTAGCGGCCGCCGCCGCGACTTCGTACGTGTGGGTCCTGTTTTACCCCCTTAGAGGTAGAGTTTTGTAAAATCCTTTCTTAGCGGATGCCTACGTCATAACATGCCAAATTTCAGCCCGATCCGCCCAGTGGTTTGGGCATAGGTCACCTTTGAGTTATAGTATAATTATATAAAGGGCATTAAATATCACTTCAATGCACTAATTCTATGATGCCTTCAGAATGAACGACGTATCGTCATAACTAAAAATCATACGTTATTCTCGCAATAACGCAACGACCGCCAATCTACGAGACATTCTGTACCCACGCTGTGTGCTCGAGCAATTTTACTCACATTTCTAAAACAAGATCCACGAAGCCGTCTCCGATGACTGACGGCACTCGTCGGGCATACTCGTCTGATGCAACAGCGCCGAAGCTTACGTCTCGCTCGCCGGCGCGGCGCCTTTCTAACAACTTCAATAGGACTCGCAAAAACCTATCTGACCTACATCTTTTAACTAACGGGTCTTAATGAAGGCTCTCCATACTCCATTATTAAGTATGACAATGTATTAGGACGCATTGGTATCAGTACCTATCAATTGAACATCATAAAAAGAAATAAAAGTAACATTATGCGTTCGTATGCACTTATTACCGTACTCTTTCGGTTATATTGGTCGTATATTCGTTTAAGGAAAACTAATATTTATACAGGATGATAGCGTCTACCTACGCTGCTGAAAATATTTCTAATAACTGCACTGGCAGAAGTTTACTAAATTATTACTCAACAAGAGTTTCTAAACTCTCCAGAATTAAAAAAAAAGTCTTTATTTCATTTTTGTATTCAGTCATGAAGTCTTAAATAATACGTTTGCAGTTTTGCGCTGAAAAATAAAGTGATCCAACTTCCAAAAGCATTATTTTTATATTATTTTCTGCAAGAAAAAAAAAGATTTTTTTTTTATGCATAACAAGGCAGGTATTTGACCACAATCGCACCTGATGTTAAGTGGGATGCGGTCTAGGATGGTACATATCTGCCCTGTAAGTGCCTATTCACTCTCGCCTTGAAAAGGCCCGGATTATAGTTTTCGGGAAAGACAGCAGCAGGCAACGAATTCCAGTCCCTAGCTGTTCGCATTATAAAAGAGTCATCGAAACGCTTAGTGCGAGCTGGTGGAATGTGTAAATCGATCGATCGATTTAGCATAATATGTAAGGTTTTTTTTTGTTTTCTGTGAAATGCAATTATCTACATGCAATAACATAACAATCATCACATTTATTAACTAAGTTCGATCGGTATTTCATGTATGACTCAATTCGTCACCGCCGACCAAATTGTGCCATCACCTTGACGACTTTACTGTCAACAAACCACCCACGTTAATACACATACACGAGATCTTAGGGAGAATTTAAACCGTTTCAATCAATGAAAAGTTTAATATCTTATTTAAACGGGCATTAAACTTTTATATCAATTAAATCAATTTTTCAGACCATATCAAAATTACCACGTGCATTCAGCATCATCGTGAAACTACATACCTACTTCTTTTAAAAATTGCATCGGTATGAAACTTTAGGTAGGTACTATATTCATGATAGGATCTATCTAAAATACCCATGCTGTTAGCATACCCCGTAGCTGTTACGTCATAGATTACACGTGAACATTTTACAAACGAAGTGACGTCAGCTTGTGAAATATCAGAATTTACTGGTTTTGCTTCGCAAAAGTCATGGTAAAATTGAAAAGTCATGGTGACCGCTACGCTTCGAAACACACGTGTAAAATCATCGTGTATCTACACCATGTAACTTTGTCCTACCTTATTTTTTATTATAGCCAGAGGCTAAATTGGTAGGTATAGGTATGTCATAAAAGTACATAATTTCAATCCTTTCCATTAATTTTACCTTATGAATGTAGCTTTTAACGTTAATTACATTCATTTATACGGTATCGCACAACACTGATATCATTGAATATTGATTCTCACGGCTGATACCAAAGCCGTGATAGTATTAGTATAAATATACTCCATCGATGCCATGAAATGAATTCGTAAAGCCCGCGACAAGCTTCGTTTATAGCGGCGATAAAAGTGATGTGGCGCTGAATTCTGAAGAGTGTAGCGCCTGCGGTGTAACGGTAGTCGTCGCGTGCTACGTCGCGGTGACGCAACACTCAGCGTGACTTGCAGCGGGCACGCAGCGCTCGCGGTCGCTGCCGCTGCGTCCATCCCTCATTCTGATTTGAACTCGCGCGCCGGTCGGTGCTGTGCTCGCCACACAACCCACAAGCACGTGGCCCATAGTGCGTCCGTCACATAACCTATAACCTCAGGAAACAGCCAACAGTCTCGCACACGAGGTAAGTGTTTTCATTCATTATACACATTTTCTCTTTCCACGAACCGTAAAATTGACACGCGTTCGTACGCTGACACGTTCATTGAATCGATCGCAATACGTGCTGTGCTTAGCGAGCTTTCTTGAAACTCAAAAAATTTTACGTGATGTGATAAAAAAAAATATTTTATTAATTATAATTAATCAAACAATATTTATGCTCAATTTGCCATGTCACTGAAATTATACTACTTTCCTGAAATACACGTACCTACTGCGCTATAAATAGTGCTTATTAGTAACTACAGAAGACACTGAAAATTCCGCGATGAATTCCTGTGGTGTTCACAAACATAATAATGCTTATCGAAGTTTATTTCTATAAACAAATAGGGTTGCGTTGCGGTACGCATAGTTGATAACGTTATCGGTGCGATGGACGCGGAAATTATTTGGTTTTGTGTGAACTTCATTCATGTTTTCTTGGCATTAACACTGGCTGGGACTGGTTCAAGGGTGGGTTCCGGGTATTTATTACCCGCCGACTCTACCTGCGTCCGCGCAGACCCTTTCTAACTGCACTTCAAATGGGGTTCGAGGTCATAAAAAGCAAGCCCCGTCGATAGAGTCGAAGAATATAAATAAAGTATAGTATTTTTATTACAATAGCATACTAGAGTTTTAAAAGAACACGTTGACAATGATTAGTTTTTTCAAAGGTAACCAGCGTTTTAACTTCGAAATGTTAAAATTCAGTTTATAAATTATGACCCTTCCCTTACTTATTTTAATTCAATTTGTCATATTTCTAAATTAAATAAATAAATGTGATGATTACATAATCCGTGTAAATCGTATTAGAAACGGAGTGATCAATTTACATAATAATATTTTATTGTATAAAAATTATTAAAACTATTTGAAAATAACGTCTCTGGTGGAATAGAATGTAATTGTTATTAGATAAGTCACAAATATAAATACATTACTTTGTTTTATTTTTCATTTAAAATACAGTTTTCTTAGTTCTAAACTTCTGAACACTTTTTTTTTTAAATTTTATCCTATATACATATTTTATACCTTCACCTTTTTTTCGAACTCGATGAAAATTATATTTTATACTTATGTCGTTTTTGCGCATGCTCGTTAATAATTCATAGATTTTATGTATTATGAAAAAAAAAGTTTCTTAGTGGCCAGTCTTGCGGCCAAGACGTTCTTTTGCGGATTCAATTAGGCAATAATACAAAGACATTGGGTCAAAGGTTCGTCATTAGAGAAGCAGTTTATATCCGTCACACGTTAAATAGATTATTTCCGATTGTCAGGACTAATGATGCAGGCAATGCTGTAACTACCGCTCATTTAACATTTAAGATGTCGTCCGCTAAAACCTTGTGCACGCGACAGTCTTATTAAAACACTTATTTAGACCTATTTTAATGATGATGATGATGTAGGTACTTACATTGTTTTAAAATTTCATTAAAGATGAACATTATTTTACCACTAAAAGTTAGCATCATCACAAATCACGATTTTCAATTTAAACTTTCTACTGATAGCGATTTAATTTTTTTGGTTCAGTTAACATTGCCACATTTTTTCTAGGTATTGCCTTCGGGTCTAATAATTAATAATTACATGCAGGATATAATTGTCAGCCAGGTCAGCGCTAAATAAATTAAGGCAATAAAGACTGAATAACTGGTTTTGATGAGCCACGCTACAATTGGCAAGGATAAAAAATATGTAGGTATTTTGTAATTATGCAACAATCAATTTATTATTTCCAATGATATATTTCAGACCCTATCTTTCATAAATATGTAGCTATTTTTAATTTTATTTTGTAACATAAAAGAATGAGGATGATGTGATGAGAGATTAATATGAAAGTAAATTATTATTTTAACATAAAGGAACTAGCGGCCTTGGTATAATGTGTATGTACCTAGTTATTACAAAAAAAAAGCATGTAACTATGTTTATATCCGTTGTCTAGTACCCATAGTACAAGCTTTGCTCAGTTTGGGACTAGAGGCGCAGTGTAAAAACCCAAAGATATTTATTTGTTTATTATTATTAATAGATACGATCATCTATCTAACAGTTTATGGTTCTATTGAAGTTATTAATAGAAATATCAACTACATAATTATGTGGCTTCTTTGAAAACTATAAGTAAGGTGCAAACCACTACCTCACTACTTAACATTATACTTAGTCTTAAAAAAAATTAAAGTTATTATAAATTAAGTAAAATAAAAACATTTATTTACATGATAAAATGCAATAAAATAATTATTAATTTTCACGATTAAAAAAAAATAGTTTAATGTATCGCAACTTTGATTGTATAGATTTAATGTAATAGGTTATTACAAAAAAAAAGTTAATTTGCAAAATTCTACTTACTATTACTACACGTGTAGGTAAATGATTTATTATGCTGATGCTTGCGTTATGAATTAACTCCAATTATTTTCACACGATGCGTCGATTGATTAGAGGTTACCTTAAATAATTACAGATAAAACACCGTTTCATTCCGCTTAAGAACCACTGACGTTACACGGTAATCCGGACATTATTATAATTTGTTGATAAAGGCAGGCTGCATACTTACACAATCAATGGAATATTATAAAGTAGGGAAAAACACGACGAAGTCCGATAACTGTCATAAACAATAAACATTATAAAAGTTACTCATGGGCAAACATAGACAACTAGACAGTTGTTGTTATCCGTAGGTCATTTGAAACTTTTCAGGGTCAGTGACCCTTTCATATATTTCAGGTCGTTGAAACATTTTTTCCTTGAAGATTATCTTCAATGTGAAAAAAGTCTACTGTTTCTTTCCGCCATGACAGTGAGATTTATTTTCTGCTATTACCTTTTTCTTAACTTTAAGCAGTCTAGTCTTAACTATGCACAGTCGTCAGCACAACAGACTTAATATTTTCGTTGCAACATTAATGTTCTTTTAACTCCACACTATTGAGTATTTCTTACATGCCATTAAGCGGCTTAGGTTATCTAGTAGTCGACACTCAGCTGATAAATCCTGAAACCTGAAATGATCACAATATAATATGTAGTTTTGTTTCAATCGATTCGCTTTTGTTTTTATCAACGATTTTTGAAATTGATTGCCGTGGTGTCCCGAACATGTAAAACCCAGGCGGTACAACAATCTATCTATTCTAATCGATGAAAGAAAGGTGACATAGTAACCCAGTTGCTGAAGGACGCGAACAAGATATTAGTAATTCATACGAGTACCGCGAGAAAGGTGGTAAGGACCTGACAAACACTCGTATGTATCTACTACGTAATAATGTGTAGCTATAACATAGATATTATCTAAACACAGTTTTACATTCAAAGAACTCGACTCAAAAGTACGAGTAAATAAAACGTTATCCCACCTAACTGTCGCCCGTATTCACAAACATTACTATGAGGTCTCAAAGTGCGCGTGGACGCACAGGGTGATACACGAACCAATCACAGAGCTCTATTCAACGCTGTGCGTTCGATTTGCTGCTACACTTAAGCAAGCATGAATACGACATGCCCGTATTCATTCAATACTGCAACAACTGCAGTTTGGTGTCAAAGGCTCAGAACTGCTAGTGATTTGCCTTTAATTATCGATAATGTTAAAGTTTATTACACGTTTTATGATGCAAATAGCAATGCAAAATAATTCAATTTGATATGCATAGCTATGATACTTTAATGACATTCTTGAGTGCATAAAACAATAAAGTCATAGTGTGCGTCTAAGTAAAATAATTGTTCATTGTTGTCGTTTAAGTATTAATTGACTCAAGTGTCGGTTACTCGGTCGGCCGTCGGTTACTGCAGTGGTCGTCCTCGCACCATTTGGTTGCTATGTAGTAGATAAGTAAATAAGTAATTAAGATATTCAAATTACTCTACCATCTGACATTATCATATCGTAGAGATTACACATAGAAAACTACGGAAATAATAGTTCGTAGAATTAATCCAAATCAAATAGAACCAAATACAGAGTAGGTACGTATCTAGATTAAAATTGTTATTGAAAGTTAAATAAACTAAAATTTGCCGTGTGGTTCCGATAAAGTAGGATAGATTAACTCTTACCTACTCTCTACCCTTGAATGTCGTAAAAGGCAACTGAGGAGCATATATACGATCTAAGTCTCTAGGAGAGTAGACCGAAATCCTCCAATTGCATCGTAAATTAGAACGATTACTTAGAATTAGTTTCGAAAAAGTCTAACTTCAATCCTAATCCAACTTGCCATGAAAACTGAAATCAACTGAAAGGTGATTGAAGAATGCAAAAGCGTATTGAATGAAGATAAATCAATGGCACTTGTAAATCCTCAAATTCGTAACAATGACAGCCTCGCATGACCGCCGTCATTGTCTGCATTTCTGTTAACATCTTGACTGACGTCACTGCGATGTTTGCATACGAACATTATGGCAAACGTGCGGTATAGTCCGCGACCGTAAAATCTACCAATCTCGCGCACCATTACCTAAATAATTTTGACTACTAAAACGGGACTATTCCCACCTCTCGTTTCCACCGCTGCGAGTCCTGTGTCGCCAGGATCTACGGCCACACCGCCAATAAAAACCCTAGGTAGTGAAAGCCAGCTTTGTCCAGGGGGAAAAGTAACACTGTCATTGAATTCGTAACGAAATTATTCAGAAGAACAAAGTAGAAGTTCAAAATTAAAGAATCGAATTCCATTTACTAACGCTGAATGAGGTAGTTGACATCACCAGCCAATTGAAATAAGTACTTTTTATGAGCTCTCAAAATCTCATCTGCCATAGATGTTCTATGGATAAAGCAATGACGTCACTTTGCCGTTAACTCAATTGAATAAACCTATTGATTGATGTCAAAGTAGTTAACTAAAAAACCATTAATTAAGAACTAAAGGGTTTTCAGGCCTAGAATTTTGTGTTCTTTTAGAGAAATGGTTAATTGTCTTAACTAACCAA